CACCAATACAACCCGGGAAAATCGGGAAGCCATCCAGCAGGTCCCGGGTTCCCGTTGGCTCCCCCATGGCAGGGACCCAGGGCCTGGGAGCTCTTGGCAGCTGCTGTGGTTGGTGAGCTCCAAACGGGTGAGCAGGAAGCCACTGGTGAAGAGGGCAATGCCAGAATAGAAGAGAAAGCAGACCCAGGCCAGCAAGAGTAGCACGGAGATCTTCTGCATCCTGGTAGAGGTAGGGGAGGGAATTCATTACTGTGGGGCAAAGAACAGTGGATATCCAGGTCCTTGAACACAAAGCCCAGCTAGACTCACTTCCTCTTGGAAACCTTCCTGGAGAAAAGCAGTCCCACAGCCAACCCATAGCAATGTTCTCTCCACCGATTACACCAGTGTTTCTGAAGGTGAGGCTCCAGACTATGGACATCAACCTGGAGCTGCGTCAAAAATGCTATTTCCAGGCCCCCATCCCAGATCTACTGAATCAGGATCTTTTGGGGACAGAACACAGGAACGTGCACACGTACACCAGAAAATATTGATGGGAAAAAAAAAGTCACGAGAGAAACCTATTCCAAGTGGTAGACAGGCTCTCAGGCCGATTCTGCGTCTCTCCCCTCACCAATCTCAATACCCCCGGGGGGGTGGCAACGGCTCAAAGCCGCAAGGGAATCCGGGCCCAGCCCACGGCGCCGCCTGGTGGGGACCGAAGGGACAAGGGGGAGGAGTCACGCTCCGCTTCCGGGAAGCAGGTTAGCCCAGAGACCCGAGCACGACCTCCCGGGCGCAGCAGTGCTGGAGCGCGGGTCCAGGAGCCAGCTGGGCCTCGCCGGGACTCAGGCGTCCGAGCGGCCACGCCTTCTCTGGTGGCTACCCGGGCTTCGCTTGGGGACCTAGCCCGGCACTGGGCACCCTTGGTTGGGAGTGGGGGCGTGGTGAGATCCCTTCGGGGTGGGGGGAACGCGGGTAGGAGCTCGGTAGACCCTGGCTCACCTGGAACGGCGGCCGGAAGTGCGGCGGCGGCGCCAGCTGCCTGGCACCACAGAGACGGGTGCGCCTGGCAGAGCGGCCCGCCGGGAGCCCCATCGCCATCTGCAGGCACCTCGGTGGAAGTTCAGCAAGGAACGTAGGGCTGAGAGTTTGAGGAGAGATTTAGGAGAATCTAGGGCAAAGGACCAAGCTAGAAGAGTTCAGGGAACCCCTGTCCATTCATTAAAACTAAGAGCACGCCTGCTCAAGTCAAATTTGACTTGAATCCTAGCTTTGGCACATATTGTCATTATTGGGCATGACCTCATCTATGAAACGGGGATAAGGAATACTAATTTTCCCTTTTTGCTTGGCGGATTCCAAATGATAGATTTCATTATTCCTCTTCTCAAAGCCTCTACCTGAATCTTATAATTCAATAATAACTCCCTTCAGAGTATAGGAGAGGGGGGAAAGGCAAATAATCCCATTTTAAGATGGGCAAAGAATCTGACTAGATATTTTGCCAAAGAAGATATACAAATAGCCAATAAACATGGAAAGATGTTCATCATTAGTCATCAGGGAAATGCTGGAGATACCACTTCAAACCCAGTAAGAGAACTATAATAAAAAGAACAGATGATAACAAGTGTTGGCAAGGATGAGGAGAAATTGGAACCCTCATACACTGCTGGTGGGATTGTAAAATGGTACAGCAGCTTTGGAAAACAGATCCTCAAAAGGGTAAACATAGTTATCAAACGATCCAGCAATTTCACTCCTAGGTATATACCCAAGAGAAATACAAACATATGTTCAAACAAAAAGTTCAACATCAACATTCATAGCATTATTCATAATAGCCAAAAGGTGGAAACCCAAATGCCTCCTGTCAGCTTCACTCCCAAATGCCCAAATGAGTGTTACCCTCACATTCATAAATAAGCTCAAATATGACATCAGTGAGGCTTCCTGAATCCTCTACTTAATATTACAGTCCCCAGCCCCTTGCAAAGAAATTCCTAATCTTCCTTCCTTTCTTTAGTTTTTTTCATAGCCCAACTCATCAGTATCTGAAATTCTATACAAATTAATGGTTTGTCCCCATTCAAATAGAATATCAGATCATTGAGGACAGGGAATTTTGTTTTCTTCATTATTATATCCTCAGTGCCAAGCATATATCTGAGGATCAATAAATACTTATCAAATGGATAAAGGAATATATTCTACTTCAGAAAAATGTTGACTAATCCCTCCATCTTCACCTCTATACCTCAGTTCAGGTTTTACTCACCTCAGGATTACTGAGGTAGCCTTCTTACTGTCCTTCAAGCTTCCCATGTCCTTCATATCCCTTCTTCTTGTTGCAGCAGGACAGCTCTATCTAAAACATTAACATGATTACTTTAATCTCAACAATTTTTTTTTAAATGAAGGTCTCACTGTTGCCCAGGCTGGAGTGCAGTGACAAGCTCGTGGCTCATTGCAGCCTCGACCTCCTGGGATCAGATCCTTATGCCTCAGCCTCCCAAACAACTGGGAATACAGACAGATTTGTGCTACTATGCCTGGCTAATTTTTTCATTTTTTGTAAAGATGAGGTTTTGCTATGTTGCCCAAAGTGATCTCAAACTCCTAGGCTCAAGTAACCTTCCCACTTTAGCCTCCCAAAGTGCTGAGATTACAGGCATGAGCCAACTCAACCGGCCTTAAAATTCTTCATAGGAAGGGAAAAACCCTTCACGGTTTTCCTACAACCTGAGGGATAATGTCCAACCCTTTCAACAGGACTCTTGCTCTCTGTGGCTTGGTCCTTGCCATATAGTCATATCCTCCTTAACACCCTACTCTTCAGCCATAGCAAACAGCTCATTGAATGTTCCAACTTATCTCAGCAGTAAGTCTTGGCATATTCTTTTTTTTTTTTTTTTTTTCCAAGTCTCACTCTGTCGCCCAGGCTAGAGTGCAGTGGCATGTTCACAGCCACCACAGCCTCCACCTGCTGGGCCCAGTCAGGTGATCCTTTCGCTTCAGCCTTCCAAGTAGCTGAAACTAAAGGCTCATGCCACCACACCCAGCTAATTTTTCTTGATTTATTGTAGAGGCAAGGTCTCACCAAGTTACCCAGACTGGTCTTAAACCAGCCTGGTAATCCTCTCACCTCTCCCTCCCAAGGTGCTGGGATTACAGGCATGAGCTACCACGCCCGGCAAGCCTTAGCATATTCTAACCCAGGTTCTAGCTTGGTGAAAACCCGCAAATTTTTCCAGCCTGAGCTCAATGGCAGAGTCAGCAATCCTGCTGCCCACAAGCTGACATGCTCGTCCCCCCAGGATCCCTCAGCCAGAAGTTTCCTACATCTCAGCATTTATCACTTTCTATCACTGTCTGCTTCCTTGTCTTTTTTTTTTTGGACTCAGAGTCTCTTACTCTGTCACCCAGGCTAGAGTGCAGTGGCACACTGCTACAGCCAACAGCCTTGACCTGCTGGGCTCAAGTGATTCTTTCACCTCAGCCTCCAAGTAGTTGGAATTACAGGTGCGCGCCACCATGCCCAGCTAGTTTTTGATTTACTGTAGAGAGAGGGTCTCACCATGTTGCCCAGGCTGGTCTCAAACCTGTGAGCTCAGGCAGTCCTCTTGACTCAGCCTCCCAAAGTGCTGGGATTACAGGCACCATGCCCACCATGCCCAGCTCTTGTCTGTCTTTTCTACCTGAACCTGTATTCTGTGGAAGCAGGGACCACTGGGTCTCTGTTGTTTTTGTAATCTCAGTGTCTATGTTTGTTCAATGTTTTTTTTTTTTTGGTTTTTTTTTTGAGTTGGAGTCTTACTCTGTCACCCAGACTGGAGTGCAGTGGCTGCTCCCGGCCACCACA